TTTTCCAGAGCGTTTTTGGTGATATAACTAGAGTGGAGATATAACTCAATACACAAACATATAAAAAGTAAATTTATAACTCATGTTGGGATATAACCCATTGGAGTATAACTCGGGTATGACTGTATTATCAATCAATTGATTTTAGAGTAGAATTACCTATACTAGAAGAGATCCGAACATTTGCTAATGGGATAATTAAAATAGCAAAACGTGTTCTACAGTAATTACTTATTTACCATGACATACAAATCATTTATTTTGCATTAGTTAGTAAGTACACTATAGAACATTTATTAATAGATAAAATCAAAAGCAGCAAAACATGCTCACAATCAAGAATCCAAATACTTATTAACCATTACTTTACGCTTATATTAATTGCTTCATTTAGTGAGTAAGTATAAAGGACATTGATTAATGGATAAAATTAAAACCAGAAAAGCAAACTCATAATTCAAGTACATAAATACTTATTTACTATTATTGATCATTTCATTCAGTGAGTGAATATGATGAATATTTATTAATGGATAGAATTAAAAATAGCAAACACGTTCACAAATCAAGAATTATTTATCAATACGTACAAATCACTTCATTTGCATTAATTCAGTCAGTGAGTATAACGACAATTTATCAATGAATATAATTAAGAGCAGCAAAATAAGTTTATCAATCAGAAAATAAATATTTATTTGCTATTATATACAAATTTCATTCTCATTAATTTAGTCGGTGAGTATAAAGCATAGAATTAAAAACAAGGCAAATTACAAATCAAGAAAATAAGTACTTATTTACAAATAATATCATTTGCATTAATTTAGACGGTGAGTATAAAGAACATTTGTTAATGAATAGAATCAAATCAGCAAAAATAGACAAATCAAGAACGTAAATATTTATTTACCATTATGTACAAATTATATTTGAATTAATTATTTCATCTAGTGAGTAAGTATAAAGAATATTCATTAATAGATAGAATTAAAAACAGCTTACAAATCAAGCACGCAAATACTTATTTACTATTATGTACAAATCATTTATTCTCATTAATTTAGTCCGTGAGTATAAAAATCAAGATCAAAATACTTGCTTGTTCTTATTTACTATATGTACAAGTCATTTCATTCGCATTAATCGTTTTATTCAGTGAGTGAGTATAAAGAGCATTATTTATTAGATGGAATTAAACCAATTACAAATCAAGAACACAAATACTGATTTACTATTATGTACGAATTACTTTATTCAGTGAGTGAGTATAAAAAACATTTATCGATAGTGTTAAAACAGCAAAACAAGTTTACAAATCAATATTATAATACTTATTCGCCATTGTGTATAAATTATTTCATTATGATAATTAAGTCTGTGAGTATAAAGAACATTTATTAATGGATAGAATTAAAAGCAGCAGCAAGTCACTTTACAAATTAAACATTTACTATCATATACAAATTATTTAATTCGCATAATTTAGTTAGTAAGTATAAAGGATATTTATTAATAAATAGAATTAAAAGCGACTAAACAAAAATATCAATTACTTATTTACTATTACATGCTAATCATTTAATTTGCATTTCATTCAGTGAGTAAGTATAAAGAACATTTATTAATGCATAAATTAAAAACGGAGAACAAGTTCACGAGGCAAGAACATAAATACTTATCTACCTTCATATACAAATCATTTCATTCGCATTAATCATTTTATTCAGTGAGTGAGTATAAAGAGTATTAATTAATGGATTGAATTAAAAATATCAAATAAATTTGTAAACATAAATACTATAAACACTTATTTACCATTACGTACAAATTATTTCATTCGCATTAGTCTGTAAGTATAAAAGAACATTTATTAATGAATAGAATTAAAAAAAACAGAACAAGTTTACAAATCAAAAATATAAATGCTATTTACCATTACATACAAATCATTCCATTCGCATTAATCATTTCATTTAGAAAGTGAGTATAAAGACATTTATTAATGGATAAATTACTTATTTACTTCCACATACAAATAATTTCATTTGCATTAATCATTTCATTCAGTAAGTGAGTATAAAAATAGTTATTAATAAAAATAGCAGAACAAGTTTATAAATCAAGAACATACTTATTTAACATTACGAACAAATCATTTCATTCGCATTAATTTAGTCGGTAAGTATAAAGTGCATTTATTAATGGATAGAATAAAAGCGACATGACAAGTAAATGAATCAAAACTATAAACATTATTTACCATTATGTACAAATCATTTTATTCTCATTAATTTAGTGAGTGAGTATAAAGAACATTTATTAATGGGCTGGATTAGTAAAACAAATTAATAGATCAAGAAATAAATACTTATTTACTATTACATACAATTGCAATTTTATTTACATTAGGTTGTAAGTACAAAGAACGCTTATTAATGGATAGAATTAATAACACCAAATCAGTTACATAAATAATTATTTTACCATCGTGCACAAATCACTTCATTCGCATTAATTTAGTCGGTGAGGATAGAATTATAAACATTGAAATAAGTTCGCAAATCAAATATATAAATACTTACCTACATTACGTATAAATCATTTCATTTGTATTGATCATTTTCATTCAGTGAGTAAGTATAGGAATATTTATTATTGAGTATAATTTTAAAAAAACAACCCAGTTACAAATAAAAATATAAATCCTTATCTACCATTATGTACAAATCATTTCATTCGCATTAATTCAGCTAGTGAGTGCAAAGATCATTTATTAATAGAATTAAGACAGCAAAATAAGTTCACTAATCAAGAAAATAAATACTTGTTTACAATTACGTATAAATTATTCATTCGAATTAGTCGGTGAGTATAAAGAACATTTATTAATAGATAGAATTAAGCATAACAAGTTTACAAATCAAAGGCATAAATGTTTTATTTACTATTATGTACAAACCATTTCATTCATTCACATTAATTTAGGAAGTGAGTATAAAGAACATTTATTAATACACAAAACAAGTTCATAAATGATTACATCAATACTTATTTACCATTACGTACAAACCATTTCATTCGCGTTATTTTAGCCTGTGAGTATAAAGAAGATTTATTAATGGGTACAAAATAGTTTACAAATTAAACCATTTTTGTTTACATTAATTTAGTCTGTGAATACTATGAAATTTATTAATGGATAGAATTAAAAACAGTAAAACGAGTTCACAAATCAAAAACGTAAATACTTAATTACCATTTGTATTAATTTAGTCTGTGAGTATAAAGAAAATTTATCAATGATAGAATAAGAACAGCAAAACAAGTTCATGAATCGAAAAATAAATACTTATTTATAATTGCGTAAAATCATTCATTCGCAATTTAGTCGGTGAGTAAAAAGATAGTTATTAATGGATAGAATTAAAAACAGCAAAATAATTCTACGTATTATTAATAAGAATATTTATTTTCCATTTACGTACAAATCATCTCATTCATACTAATTTAGTTAGTGAGTATAAAAGACGTTTATAGATAAATGGAATGAATAACAGTAAAACAAATTCAAAATCAAAAATATATACTAATTACGTACAAATAATTTTCATATGCATTAAAAATTTCATTTAGTGAGCGAGTATAAAGAAAATTTATTAATGGATGCAATTAAAAGCAGCAAAACAAGCTCGCAAAAAGAAAAAAAACTTATTTACTTTCATTCGCATTAATCTAGTCTGTGAGTATAAAGAACATTTATTAATAGATAGAATTAAAACCAGCAAAAAAGTTCACAAATCAAGAACAAAATACTTATCTACCATTACGTATAAACATTTCATTCTTATTTAGTTAGTGAGTATATAGAGCAGATAGAATTAAAAAAGCAAACTAAGTTTACAAATCTAGAGCATAAATACTTATTTACCGTTACGTACAAATAATACATTCACATTAATTAGTCGGTGAGTATAAGGAATGTTTATTAATAGGTAGAATTAAAGATTATAAATACATATTCATCATTGCATAAAATCATTTCATTCGTATTTAAGTCGGTAAGTATAAAAGTCATTTTCTGTATAAAATTTCAAATAATGGAAGAAATAATAAAACATTATATATTCTAAAGAACCTCTGAATATGGAAAATGTGCACAATGTAATGAAAATAACACAAAGACAGCATGGTGTCTATCATGTGACCCTGATATAACGACAAGGTGGACAAGTGGAAATAAGGAACTTGTCGATTGCATGAAAGCATTCCAACTTAGAACCTTTGCATACGAAAATATGGTTGAATGGATTCCATTTGATAGATTATCTGATGCTAAAGAAATTGGTAAAGGAGGATTTGGCTCTGTATATTCAGCAATCTGGTTGGATGATATACGAAAAACAGAAAAAATTAAAATTGATAATGATGACTATCTTTACAAGAAATCACGAGAATCAAATAGTATCATTGCACTCAAGACCTTAACTGGGTCTTTAAAAGAAGTAAGTTAAATTATCATTTGTCTAACTTATTAAATATATACTAAGTTAATTCGTTTGATTATAAACTTTGAAAACTATTTAAGACTTAATTTGTATGGCAATAAGTTTAAAATATATGGATTAACTCAATAAATACTTAATGGCATTTCAGCATGCTAATATTGGAAGTCTTTATAAATTTTAAGAAAAAATTTTCAAAATCTTACATGGCAAATCAAATTAAAACTATTCTATATAATTCTATTCTAGATTAGCGCTATCCAAAATTGCATCAATATCAATGTTTGTTGTTTCATAATCAATTTTCTCATGTTCTAAATTTAAGCTTGTACTATTTACAACTTTTTTAAAAAAGACATTTATTATTACTGCGATAATTTATTCTAAAAATGTAAAATTTTAATTAGCACTATATTATATATAGTCAAAGTTTTATAAATTCAATTGTGTAAATATAGAAGTGTTAAATTTATTTGCAAAATAATAAGTAGAAGTATGTTGTTTGATAAGTTGCTAAATAAGAAATTAAAGGTATTTAAATGCAATAAATGTGTAAACAAATAGAATGCATTACATTTCCAATATTTAAACATTAATTAACTATATGGGTATTACACATCAAAACAGCTCATTTTTACATTTAAATCATTTTGAGTAAATCAGATTTGTTATAGGACATGTCCATATATAAGAGCTTGCATTGCTGTTACTTATAAATAAAATGAGTTGACTCACTCAATTTTATATGTAAATTTATATAAAAAAATCACTTAAAATTAATTTTTGTAAAAGTACACATATAAACTTTTCTTTAAACTTTAAATATGTATTCTTTGGCATTTAATGATCTTTAGTTTAAAGCCAAAGTTTTTAATCTCTGGTAGTTTGAAGTAAATTTTCCACTAAAGTTGGACAATTCTTTACTATGTCCTTTAAGTCAAATGAATGACACACCTCATACAATAATATGATTGGTTAAAATAATCTTCTAAAATATGAAAGATGCTATTAAGTAAAGGCCTCTTCTAGCTTAAAGAAAAGTTGTAGAGTAGGGATTTGATTCTATCTTAGACAGGCCATCCGGATTCTATTAAATCCAAATTGAATCCGTGTCAAATTAGATATAAAGCTAGCTTTAAGAACACCCTTATGTTCATTATTTAAGTTCTTTGACAAATCTGAATAAAAATCTCTGATCTGGATATTTAAATTTATCTATAATTCAGATGGTCAGATTATGGATCGATTCCCTATTGCAGAGGAGGTTCAGTCATCAAAATTGACTTGGTGGATCCCAAGATACTTGGGGTCAAAGAAGAGAACATAAGAATCTGCAAATTCACTATTACACAAAGTATAATACTTTGTGTAACAGTGAATTTGCAGATCCTTATATTCTCTTCTTTGACCCCTCTACAACCTTTCTTTAAGCTAGAAGAGGCCTTTACTTAATAGCATCTTTCATGTTTTAGAAGATTGTTTTAACCAATCATATTATCATATGAGGCGTATCATTCATTTGACTTAAAGAACATAGTAAAGAATTGTCCAACTTTAGTGGAAGATTTACTTCAAATTACCAGAGATTAAAAACTTTGGCTTTAAATTAAAGATCATTAAATGCCAAAGAATATATATTTAAAGTTTAAAGAAAAGTTTATATGTGTACTTTTACAAAAATTAAATTTGTGATTTTTTTACATAAATTTACATATAAAATTGAGTGAGTCAACTCATTTGATTTATAAGTAACAGCACTCATGTGGACATGTCCTGTGACTGATATAGTAATACATATAAATTTTTTACTTCAGTTCGTTTTGTGAATCTTATATATATAATTAGTGCGATAGGTGGTGCATTTGCACCACCCATCTTATATAGAATTTAGCAACTAACGCGATACGTGTGATTATAATCAAATTAAGTTGGTATTGATTTCTGTTTATCGTAAAAATTTCTGTTACAAACCTTAATCGTTAATACAATAAACACACTGGTTAAAATTGAGTTGGTTTGTATTGAAATTACCATAATGCTACTATAAATTATTGTAAAAAACTCCATCACTAAACTTGTTATTCTAGTGACCACAGTATGTGGTTAAAGTTGATATTATCATTATTTTTACAGTGTTACTGTAAAAAATTCTGCTTCAAAAACTTGCTATTTCAGCAAAAACAACATGTAATTGATATAGAGATAGTTCGTATTGGAAATATCATGATTTCGATGATGGGATTGTAACCATCGTAATGGAGAGCTTAGTACTGTCATACCGAGTTTAACTCCGATGGTTGACGTTAGAAGGGTCACATGAATTGGGCGATAAATTATGATATTCGGATATTCATGATTTATTAGGCATTTATATGAAAAAGAATGTGAATATATGTAACCTTTATTTATTGAGGCATTTGGGAGAGCGAATGTTATTGTCAACATGGGGATCTCAACGCTTACGCTGTAGATTCCACATTTACTCAAGACGCAATGATTACAAGTTTATGCAAGCGCGTATGAGCTTAAACGCTCTTGCCTGAAATAAGCCACCACACCAATAATACATAATAGTGCCTAATTCTACTAAGGTAAGATTAACGTGGCTATGATGGTACAATTATGGAAGGAGAGTGACGACTTCAAGTTATTCTTTGTCAAATATTTGAGGATTTTCATAGTAATTTCGCAAATCCGCCGATATGTTTCTATAGTAAGTTGCTGTAAATTATGTTTTCAAAATAATTCATTATTCCAGTGACTGCAGATTTAGTTGAGTTGGTTGTACTGGAATTATCGCATAGTTAAGGTATAGTTAGTACGTATTGAAATTATTGAGATTTCTATTGTAAGCTACCGTAAAAAATTCCATTAAAACCTTACTCATTATTTTATATATAGAATGTGATTAAGATTGGTTAATTTGCACTGGAATTATCGTGACATTTATCATAAGTTATTGTCAAAAAAAACTTTACACAATATTTAATCACCTACAGCACATACTATATGGTATGATACATTATACAGCCTAAATTAGTACCCGGGTATTATAGACAGTGGTTTTTTCATTTGAAAACTCTTTTAACGTAGGAAATATCCCCAGATATTTTGTATTTCACCGTGAAATTTTTTTAAGGGGGGTACTTTGATACGGGAGGGTACTATGGTCCGAGCTGTATGGTTGGTATTTCAATAATATTATATGTAATCAAGGTTGAATTGGTTAGCATTGAAATTATCGTAATTTTTATGATAAGTTACTGTAAAAAATTTGTTAAAAATTTACTTGCATTCCAGTGAACACAGTGTGTGATTAAGGTTAGGTTGGTTAGATAGTTCGACTTGGTAAAAATCGACCCACCCCTACCCACTCGTTAAGTAGCGAAAGCATAGTTGGATAAATTGGCTCCGAGGCTGTAAAAACAGTGCAAAGACCAGATCCAAGAGAAGTACTGCATGCAGTAGTATTTCAAAAAGCGACTCTCGTTAAATTGTTATGTAACTATGAAGCCCCACCCTTCTCGCAAGAGTTGCCTTTGTTGTTGTATTATATAGAAATGATAGTTATGCTGTGAGATGAAAGTTATTGGATGTAGTTTCGGAACTGTTAAATGGAGTGTTGTAATGGTTAGCTTAACTGTTCCAGACTAGGATCAAAATATACGTATTTTCTTCATTATAGAAATAAAGTCTCCGATCGAGCAATAATCAGTAATTTTCATTTCATTTACATGTACATGTTAGGAAAAAAAAAATCTATTGTGAAATTATGATCAATTTATAATATAAAATGCTTATCTTTTCTATTATTATAAGTATTTTTATGTGTGTTTTCTCTTTTTTTTTCTAATTTTTCTGTCAGCTTTTTATTTTCTTATCGGATTTTACCGGTTTGATGAATAGATGATTATTGATCATATAGTGAAAGAATCTTGATTTTTTTACCGTTCGGCTAATGTTATTTCTTGCAGCTGGGAGGCTTAAAAAGTTGTTGCAAATATTTGTATCCTGTGTACGTGGCTTTATTTTATTAGTTGTATATCTTAAATAAATAAATTGTTATAATAAATATTTATGTTATCTATCTTAACATTATATATCTTAATTAGTATTAAATTATTTTGGGATGTTCTCTCGATTAATAACACCTGGTATAATCTGATTTTAATTTCTATCTATTTATATCTTGCATTTAAATAATTAGTTCTCGGTAAAATAAAAAAGTGAGAAGTTTGAAATAAGGCCAAATGAAGTGAGGCCAAGAGCTATATAAAGTTGTTTAAATTTAGGTTCGATTTTTTTTGCCAAATTATCAGTAATTGGTAACGTCATCTAATTATTGGTTGTTTGATGGGCGGCGAAGCCGCCCGCACATGCAGTTTCTAGATTTCTAGTCGAAGGCTATAATAAAAATCTCACGAAAGAATTTATATTCATTTCTAAAATTTAGTCAACACGTGTACTTATGTGATCGGTAAGATGAAAAGTGTGAAGTGCTGAGCAAAACAAGGTTGAGAGTTATATTGTAGAAAGAAAATGACACAATACAAATATAGTATGTGGTTTAAAGTGAGGCGAGGTCGAAGGCCATGTTATTGTCATGCCATCAGTGATATCTAATTATAAGTTAGCTGAAATAGGTGGTGAAGCCGCCCATCTGTGCAATTTCTGGTTGTGATATTATACGGAGGTCACTGTTATTGAATAAACAAACATGATTTCTTTGTAATCTGATAGAAGTTTTCAAATATTGAATAATGTATTCAAAGCCAAAATCATCTGAAAGATTCCATCTTGATTTCTTACATTTTACAAAAAAAAAAAAATTATCATTCGTTCTTATCTAAAATGAGTTCATCGGAATCCAAAGATCAGTTAATTGAAGATCAAAGACAAATTTTGATTGATGTTCCACATAATGCACACAATGGGAAAAGAATTATTAATTATGTTTTTTCACCAAAGATGCAATGCATTGCGACTTTGAGTGAAGAAGATAAATCAATCGTTATATGGACCATCACAAAAGAGCTTAGTGTCGAATATGTTAACTCATTAGACACTAATGATTTCAGAGATGTTTTGAACACTTATAAAGGTTTCAAATTCGAAAATATATTTGATGGAGAGAATAGGTTAATAGGAATCTCAGATTGTAAACAAATAATACTAAAATTACATCGATATCATATCCTTAAGTTTGATTTTGATTTTGGTTAGTTAAAACTGATTAATCGTTGATGTACAATTATATCTGTACGTATTAATAAAGGTTTATTTTAATAGCAATTATTGACACAACAACTAGATCAAGACAAAAACTATGCGCACAAGGTTTAACAGAAAGTATAGCAAGTATTACTTTTCTAGAAAATAAAGAACTTGCAATTGTCAAAGGAGAGTCGGTTTATCGAATATATATTTTTTCCAATCAAAATCTAATGGCTGGACATGTAAGAAAAGGTTTGAACTTGAAAAATTTTATTTTTGCTCTATTCTTCAAAATGGAAAGTTGTTTTTATTTTCCGAAATACCCTCATTTGTAATTATGCAATGGGATTTAATAACTCAGAAATTTGATATACAATATATGTTGTATTCGAATAATTGGACTTCTATCGCAGCATTAGAGAGAATGCAAATGAAAATGAATAGTGATAATACATTGTTAGCAGTAGCACAGGGGGTCATTGTTGTTATATATGTGTTTATTCAACAAAATCTGGTATTATGATATCAAATAGTAAGTATTTTATAATTAAAATTTCTTAAATATGAATATCAAAGCTATTAATTTTATTTAAAAAATTCAGGAAAATTTGATGAGAAATTGCATAATTTTGGATTTATTGGATCAGGAGAAAATGAGCGCTTGTTTTTCTCTGGCCCACATAGTAAAACAGAAAGCTATAACTCTTATATATTAAATCCTTATACACACACACTTGATAAGTCTTCTGACAATGATATCTTATTGGATATTTATCCTACCACATATCAAAATTACAAATCAAATAGTTCTATTATCTCTGATTATATTATAAAAATTGAAAATAATCATTTGTCAATTCAAAGATTGTCTCAAAATGAAAGTTGGAAAAATTATTTAGAACGCAAAGAACGTTATTACAGTAGTACATATATATATTTTAATGTGAAAGAAATTAGGCAATTTATATGAGAAATATGATCCAAATCAAATTTTAACGTTGAATTACTCAGATGAACGTAAAGAATATACTGAAGGGACACACGTGGATTTTTGAATATAACAAAGATCATTATGGAGAATGGACAAAGATAAAGTTAAAATACCGAATTGAATCCGATAAGGAAATTGAATATAGCTTTTATTTTGATACGAATAATATTGAAAATAAAGTGTTCGAAAATATTGCTGGTTTATTGTTCTTACATAGAAATCTATGCAATAAATTCTGAAAATGCAATTAGCTTAATTTATTATTGGTATGATAAATCTAATCAAACAACAGAAATAACAAACTATTCTATAATTAGATTTCTTACTTCTTTTAAAAAGAATCTGAATTTTTACTATTTTGATTTTGTAATTTTACCACCCCAACTTTGTTAAATTTTGAAGTTATGAAATCGACATTTTTAAAATTATAAAAGATCTATTTCGTGAATTCTTTTTAAATTATTGGGAAAATGATCTTAATAGGTTCTATAATTATTACTATAATCATAGATTGTCAACGTATAAGAGCGATGATATTTATAACTTTACATTGATGGTAGGACAAATTGCTTCTATATTAGTAAAGTCTGAAAAATATAACAAAAATTTAAAGTTTACAGAAAAATTTTTATCAGAAACTAATTTGTTGGTTGGTATCGTTAATCCTTGTGTTAATCCTAGAGAACAGGATACTTCTTTATTATTTAATCTTCAACATTGTGGAACCTATGTTAATCCATATGATTTATTTAATACTTCATATTTTAATCTTTTATCTTTCTAGATTTCTAAAAAATGGAATTGGTTAAAAAATTCTTATTCTCGAATTTATAATACTTTAGCATTTCCTTATTTGTTATATTCATCTTATTTTACTATTTATTCCCAAGAAACTGTAATTTTAATATTTCCATTATTAAATTTTGCCACATATCCTTAAGATTATTCCTACGGTGAACTGTTTTATTTGCAAGGTAACCCCTTTATCTTACTATTGGATGCTTCAGATTATTATAAATGGTGGAATGTTAAAGCACTTATCAGCTTCAAGTAAATACTTATGAAAAACTATATTATTTTATAATGTGGGCAATATATTCAATTTTTATGAGCTTCTTTTTAGTTGTTTCAACAATTCCGGATCATAAAATTTCTTGAAATAATCAAGTTATTGTTTTGGTTTCAACTGTTATTTTTGGATTTTTACATTTTATTTTTGAAGTTCGTCAATTTATTCATAAACCAATATATTATATTGCTAGTCCTTGGAATTGGTTAGGTATGATTAATTTATAATAATTAATTTATAATAATTAATTTATAATAATTAATTTATAATAATTAATTTATAATAATTAATTTATATAATTAATTTATATAATTACAATATTAAGTTTTATTTTTATTAATTACAGATCTTGTTGCAATATTGGCTCCAACAATAATTTCATTATTATGGTTACATAATAAAATTCTACCAGTTTGGACTATAACTAACTATTGCTGCTTTTTTACTTGAAATTAAATTTTTACTTTATTTTCGTGCATTAGAATACTTTGGAACTTATTTTGCAATTATGATTGGAGTAGCTCAAAAAGTCTTTTCTTTTCTTGTCATTTTAGGCATTATTGTATTAGCCTTTGCATATTCTTTACATCTTTTATTAAGACCTACTAGTGAATATTCTTATAATCAGCCAAGCTTTACTGACGATGTTAATAATCCTTGGAATCTTGTTTCAACTTATAAATTAATTTCTTCTAATGGTACTGTTGGAGAATCATCACTTATTGAAACTCCGGATGATAATACAAATTTATTTTCAATGTTTAGTACCTCAATTTTAGCTCTATATTCTATGCTAATAGGTATTATAAATTTATAATAATTATTAAATATTAACAAAGTAATTAATGTGTTTATATTTTTAGGCGATACAAGTTCAGTTTCTTCATGGGTTCTAAAAAATAATTGGACTTTAGCGTTTTTATTACTTATATTTTCATTTTTTACAACTGTTTATTTATTAAATCTATTTATTTCATTGCTTGGAAACGCTATTGATGACAGAAATAACGAAGAATCTTTTTTACAACTAAGAGGCGAGGTAAAAAAAATTATTCAATTATAATTTAAAAACAAATTAAAAAGAATAGATAAAAATAATCTTTTATATTTAATTATAGATATTAGCAGAAATTGAACTTTTTTGGATATTGCCGCATCAAAGAAGAAAGAAAAACTGGTTTCCAGAAATTTGTAATTAATTTTGTAATCTTTACTGTAAATATTATATGTGTATATTATATTAATACATGATTTAAATTTTTAGATATTACAAAGCTTCGGTTAATGAGCTTAAAAAAATATAT